ATATATATATATATATATATATATATATATATATATATATATATATGAAATGTTTCGCCAAATTGCTCGTGACATATGTATCTCATACATATATATTTTTAAATGGATGTCAGTTTACATATTCACCTGCAATTATCACAAAGGTACCAGTCTGTTCCTGTAGCATAATAATGCTTGATTTTTAATTCTAAGAAATGCATTTTTCTCTCTATTACTATCCTTCTTCATACCATGTACTACTTCGAGCTTTAACAGTTGAACAGTCCCTTGCAATGCTTTGAATTTGTAGCTAGAGGCCTAGAACTGAATTGGAATAGAAGGAAAGTTTTATATAATTACAACATTATTCATAATAATGCTTGATTTTTAATTCTAAGAAATGCATTTTTCTCTCTATTACTATCCTTCTTCATACCATGTACTACTTCGAGCTTTAACAGTTGAACAGTCCCTTGCAATGCCTTGAATTTGTAGCTAGAGGCCTAGAACTGAATTGGAATAGAAGGAAAGTTTTATATAATTACAACATTATTGGTAACTGACGTTTATTCAGTTTCTTCTAATATGATTTTGTATTATATATTTCATTGTTAGAGAATGGATTCAACAACCTCTTTGATTCTGCACATCAGCTTATAGATCATGAGATGTTAAGCAGTTCTAGCAGCCCAATAATATTGATTTTAATTATTTTGCTGTTGTAATTTATGCCAACACTGCTATAGCCTATGTTACATGGGTACTTCTAATATGGAGCCGTACTCATACACGACATGTGTTGTACCGGTACTTGATCCCAAAACTTCTTGGACACTCCTTAAACATATGCATATATTTATTGACACATTATACAATGCACGTTTCATTTAAAACACTCGTCATACATTTCTTGGATATATAACCTTCACTTTACATCCACTTCTACAACTTGCGGGATAAGGGGCGAGTTTATTTCAGCCTTAAGAGCTGCAATTTGAAATGGTCGTTTTAGTTTAGAATTATGATTATATCCTATTGAGTTTCAGCTATGTCCCCATACCAAATTTTCCATGTCCCATCCCCATACAACTTAGGCTACAACACTTCTATATGATGGTAAGCACTGCGGAAGAAATGATCTGGGCGATATCTTCCTAATAGATCTAGTTTTTCAAAATCTAAAATGTTTTGCTGCGGCTTTTCTTATTATTGTTTCCACATATAATGCATATCTCTTCTGTACGTGACAAGGTTATTGTTGTCCTATTATTGATTATGATTTTGAAAGGGCCAGAGGAGATAAGCATGCTCCGAGCTCTTCTTTTACAGTAATCTGTAGGAAATCTGTTTTTTTAATGGGTGTAATTTAACTAAGCTTGAACATTTGATGTATTTGTACAACTGCAACTCAATTCACTCTGCTAAAGTTTGATGTGCTGTTGTTTGTTTTGTGACTTTTATTGGAGAAGCTGCTGAGAGATGGCTAGCAATATGAATAAATGTTTTTTTACTAGTATGCATGTACGCTTTTATATGCAAATTCTACGGCATATGAATAGCTGGAACTGAATAAATTTTGGTGAAGTGTAGAAGTAGAGAAATGCGAGATCTTATTAGTCTTTATATGTTTCTTCTGTTGCAATGGCACTTAATCAAGTATGTATCTTAAAAGGTTTTCAGACTGGATTCTTAATCTTGGTGCCCTGTGGGTTTATGTCTAGTAAGTTTTTGTTTTGTCATAAGCATATGATTTTTATCCTTATTAGATAGTATTTTCTCTTGATTATGCTAGGCTGCAGATCATCTGATGATCATCAGGCTATCCGATCTGGTTTGCTAAAAGGTTTTCAGACTGGATTCTTAATCTTGGTGCCCTGTGGGTTTATGTCTAGTAAGTTTTTGTTTTGTCATAAGCATATGATTTTTATCCTTATTAGATAGTATTTTCTCTTGATTATGCTAGGCTGCAGATCATCTGATGATCATCAGGCTATCCGATCTGGTTTGCCAATCTATAGTGGACATGACGATTGGGGACGCGATGATAGGGGAGGGTGCGGACATGATTCAGAAGATATTCAAAGTCAAATTTGACATGACGCAGAATGAGCTAGAAGAGGAAGATAACGAGAACAGATTAATGCTGCTTAATAAATCAGTGCTGAAGGAGTCCAATGTGGACAGCTTGCTCGAGTTGAGTGATTTTATCGCTTCACCACCAACAGATGAACATAGCGATTGATCTGCAGGATATGACCTAGAGGTTTCATATGTTTCTTTTCACTTTAGTTTTCTTGGATATGATTTGGTGGTGGTGCATAAATTCTGTTGATAGCCATTACCTGATGATTCTCTATTTGTATTCTTCCTCTTTAGTTTATTATTACAATATAACCTATGCATATACCTACACTTTAGGGGCTGTCTTGCTGGTTTCTCAGTAACCAAAGAAACATGAAATGGGGGTAGAAAATAATCAACCATGGTTTCCTCCCATTTTCCCATAAAAAAAAAGATCAACAACTTAGGAAACAATTTTTCTAGAGAGTCAGATTAACGGAGTCAGATCAACCACTAAGAATTCAGATCAACCACTAAGAATGTGACACATGATTCTATTTTAAGGATATAAGAATTAATAAAACACTGCAAATGAAACTATTATAAGGAAAAACAGAGAATCGGAAACTAGTATCGAATTAAGATTAATAAAACACTGCAGATGAAACTATTATAAGGAAAAATAGAGAAAAGGAAACTAGTATAGAATTAAGAATTAATAAAACACTGCAGATGAAACTATTTAAGGAATAATAGAGAAAAGGAAACTAGTATAGAAAAAAGTGACATGGACATCATATTTTTTTTAGGAAAATTGTAAGCATACCACCTTTTTGTGTACTACTTTGATACTGATTGGGGACCTTACTTGAAAATAGTCATTACTCTTTTGTAAGTGATACCAAAGTAGTAGAAAAATTATAGTACATTTATCACTAGTCCTCCATTTTCTTTCATAAAACTTTACAGCCCCCAAGTAAAGACATATCTTTAGTGTTTGTTTAGTCACGAGGAATACAAAGGAAAACTTGGAAAGTATCTGACAGCTACAGAACACGTCAATGACAGAAAATAAGGAAAGTAGCTCAAACTGGATTCCTAAATTTGTGTTTGGTTCTCCCAATGAGATATAGAAACACTTTCTTAAAACCCCTACCACGTCATACTTTTAGGAGTACCTAATTCTGAGCTACTTGAGCATAACTGGGCTGTAAAGGACTAAAAAGTTGAGTTTTAATATTAAAGTATTAGAGAAAGAGGCTAGTGGGTTTTCTGGTGGGAAGTTTTGGAAATCGATAAAACATCTCTCTCATTATATCCCCCCCCAATATTCCGCCTCCATTGGAGATCTCTCTGTGTTCCAAACCCTATATCAAATCCCCTAAAAATTGAACCAAAAAAAAGGAAATTTTGTGGGTTTTCATCAGAAACCCTAAAGTTATGTTGATCTGCTATCCGTTTCTTCTATTATACAAAAAATCCAGCCATACAGTTGGTGTATTTCAACTTTTTTGGTTTGCTTGTGTTTGATCTGCCTTCTCTCTCACACTTGAATCGTTCAATCGACCCCATTTGAAAGGTATAGTCACTTTGATTTAATTGTTTTTTCTCCTAAAAATATATATATTTTTGGTAATCTATGATTCTATGAAGATTATATGTCGCATCTAAAATATAAAGTTATGATTTTTACCATAAAAAAGGAGTCTTGTTGTTTGTTTCGTGATTTTTTTGGTCAATGAAATAAAATTTTATTCATCTCCCAAATATTAAAAGTGTGAGTACATCAAAGCTCCACCAGTTCATCTCTGGCAAGAAAAAAAAAACAGATTCTCATCAAGCTATTTAGCTTACATTTTCCCTATTTTTTCCTTTATATGTTCAGGAATTTCTTCATTTAGCACATTTGATAAGATAGAAATCTTCACCTCTCTGACTAACTGAGCAGGTGTATGGAGCTTCCCTTGAAAGATTCTCAAGTTTCTTTCCATCCAAATCCAATATACAGTCGCCGACAATGCCATTCTCTTTATCTTCTTCATGAATCCCTTTCCTTTCAGATTTGTAATATACTAGTTCATAACTTGATCCCAGCTACATGATCTCCATGAGTAGTCTAACCATTCCATTATTACATTCCAAATATGTGCTGAATGCTAACATTCAAAAAATAGATGCTTACATGTTTCCTGTTGAACTGAGCATAAGATACACTGGTTTTCATTTAGCATTCTCAGCCTACATAATCTGCCCTTTGTCAGTAGCATGGAGAGGGTGGTTAGCCACAAAATAACTGAATGTTTAGGATAGTGTAAGCCACCCCAAATTGTATCCGACCATGTAGCATGTGTTCCTGAATGGGTCAGAGCTTTATATACAGCTGATATCTGTAACTTTCCATTTACATAACAATTATTCATAGTTCTTTGCAGGTTGCTTCTATCTCCAAATTTTCTAAGAGCCATATCTCTTACTTTGAGTAATTGCCTCCACATCCAAGAACCAGTTCCCTTTGATTGAACCTGCCATATATCCAGTTGGTGTATATACTTTTCATGCACTCATTTGATCCACAATATATCTTTTTTGATGTGAAAATCATCCATAGCAATTTGATTACAGGTGCATAGTTCCAATCCTTTGTAGTGTATAAACCCAGACCTCCCATCTTCTTGTCTTTGCATATATCACACCAAGAGACTAGATGTGTCTTGCAATTCCATAAGAAATCAGAGCAAAGTTTATCAATTTTTTGCAGAACCTTGATGGGTAGCACATAGTTACTTGTCCAGTAATTCTGAATCCCTATAATGACAGATTTAATCAATTGAATTCTTCCTGCATATGATAGCTTCCTTCTGTTCTGCCATCTTTGAAACTGCTCCGAGATTTTTCTTATCAATGGTGAGCAATCTAGATGAGTAAGCCTTTTAGAAATCAGAGGCATCCCCAAGTATCTAACTGGTAGAGAGCCTTCTTAGTAATTCAGGCGAGAACAGATCTGGCCTTTGATATTATCTTCAACTCCACCCAAGTACACAGCACATTTACTTGGATTTGCCTCCAAACCAGATACCCTGCTAAAATCTTGAAGACAACCATGCAATTTACTAACTGAGTTCATATCAGCTCTGCAAAATAGCAATAAATCATCTGCAAAGATTAAGCGAGTTATTCCCAAGCCAGAACATTTAGGGTGATATTTGAACAAAGTGTCAGTTTTGAGTTTTTTTAACCTCCTGGACAAGTACTCCATCCCAATAACAAACAAGTATGATGATAAAGGATCACCCTGCCTCAATCCCCTTGCTCCCTCAAAGTATCCATGCAGTGACCTATTGAGAGATAGAGAAAATTTTGTAGTAGTTACACATGCCATAATCCATCCTACCATATTAGCTGGAAATCCCAAACCTGTTAGCATGGTCTTGATAAAGCTCCATCTTATTGTATCAAAAGCCTTCCTCAAATCTATGTTGAGGGTAGCCCTAGGAGATATGTGACTTTTACCATAATGCTTGACAAGCTCATGTGCAAGTAGGATATTATTTGAGACAATCCTTCCTTTGACAAAGGCACTCTGTGCATCATCAATTATATACCATATAACTTTCTGAATTCTAGTGGTCATTATTTTTGAGATCACTTTATAGACACAATTACAACAAGAAATTGGTCTGAAATAAGAAGGTGAGCTGGGATTTAGAACTTTAGGAACTAATGTGATGGTTGTTGTGTTGAGAGAGCCAAGAAGCTTACCAGACTTGAAAATTTCCTGCACAGCTTTAATCATGTCTTCACCAATGATATCCCAAGCACTTTTGAAGAAGGATGCACTATAACCATCAGGTCCAGGGGCTTTTTCACCAGGAATTGCAAATACAGCTTGTTTAATCTCTTCTTTGGTGATAGGAGATCCTAGAGTACTTCTATGGGAGTCTGTGAGAATAGGGCCATCAGAGATAATTGCAGGATCTGGCTCTGTTGTGTTCACTGCGTTGCCCAGCATCTTCTTATAGTACTCCACAAGTTCAGCTACATTTCTGGCATATCTGTAAGCCTTCTTCCATCCTTTGAATAAAGAGTTAACACTCTATTTTGATGTCTTTTGGTTTTATTGTTTTTATATGTGTGGATAGGATGAATATTTGATGTACGCAAATTATATTACAAACTTATTAGATATTGGACTATTTTGTGAACGCCAAATCTCAAAAGTTGTTCAGTTACGCTTAGAATACCAATTCCCTTCAAGGGAACAAAAAAAATTTGAAAAAATTCATAAGTTCAAGTAGTTATCAATGCTTATGCATGCAAGAGATAATCATAGTTTTTGTAGATAATTAATAATTTTCTTTAACGTTTAAATAACTGTTAGATTTTGCAAAAAAAAAAAAATTTAACCATACCATACAAATCACAGTCTTGGTTAATGTTTATATTTTCAGTTTCAATTACTGGTATATTAAAATCCATTTATAGATAGTACTTGCATGCTCATTAACTTTGGTATTGCATATGATTATGTAGCTTCCTATTTATGCACAATTTACACATGTTAATGTCATTTGGTTCTTGCAGATGGATAATGTGGAGGAAGAAATGGTTGAGGATAATTTCTGGGGGTGCAATGACTGTCATGATAGCTATTATTCCCATGGTCTTGACAATGTAATATTGACACACACACATAAAACAGAATGCTAGTCCAACTCAACTTCAAACTATTCATGTTAGCAAATAAATAAGATGGGTAGATTCAACTAGCATCGAGCACAAGCATTCAGAGTTAACTAGACCACACCCTTCAGAAGTCCGTTAGTACAAAAAGACCCAAGTTTCTCACTGCACCTGCATCCTAATTGCTATTCAAGATTGCAATTTTTATAAATTAACAGCATCTAGGTTCATATAAAAACAGTGTTTCCCGAAAAAAAAGGTCGAACACAAGTTTCCAACAATTCCAATCTTGCATACTTAAATAAGTTATGCTATGGCAAGACAATGTGCACCTATAACGGCTCATTATGTTGTGCATTACTATGTAGCCTAATGATATTCCAACATGCATTTCATATGAGCACAATCACAACCCTCGAACAGCCACTGTGGCAAAAGTCCAATAATCTTGCAACTGAAAATCTATCACGAAAAGCAGAATTATTAATTTCAGAGAAAAGAACAATTAAAAATGAAAAAAAAAACTCAATTAAGACAAAGATATCAGTCCCTGCATGTCTCCATAATTTCATTTATCATTTTTGCCACCAATAAACATCCATTTTGAGCATGTGTTGTGCATGGTGTGAGAGACGGTGCCAAAACACTGTTAATTTATTGAATCAAAAAAT